GGGGTTGTTTGTACCATGCTTGTGAGGGAAATGTGGAGCGAGCTCCTTGCTCCAGGTGCAGAATCCCTTTTGAAGTGGAGTCCGTTTTACAAAGTTCAGGTTCCAGATGCATTTTTTTGGTTCTATTCATTTCACACACGCAGCCATCTGCTAGGAAACCATCTTCTACTTAATCTACAAAACAATTACGTATTTTGAAAATAAGTTAGTTTTTTTCTAAATTACATGCCCATTTCATCCTTCAGTACAAAAGCTGTGATTGTTTATCTGCTAGCGAATTCTTAAAGTGTATTTACACTTCCTCTCATGCATCTTAAGCATTTGTACATCTTTTAGCCAAGTACTACATTCTTCTTATTGAAGCTGCCACCTGCAAGCCACCCGTGTGTGGTGGTGTGGTATATTTCTGGTGTTTTTCAGATAGGTTTTTAAATAAAACTACCCATAGACATAGATAAATAAAAGTGGTGTGTGAAAGTTAAGAGCTGACTTGCAAATTAAGTGGACCATTTTGGAGATGAGCCAGGCTGGCATAGGTAGCAAGCCATCCTGCCTCTTGGATCTCAGGTGGGGAGGATATGTCTCTGATGTGCCTGAGGGGCTTTCTTTGCCTTGGCTGACAGGCCAGACTTCCATGAGCTCTTTGGGCAACCTACTACGAAATCTGGCTCAAACAACTTTTCTCAGTCATTACAGACCCTGGGACAACCTCTGAGTCAGCCTCCGGCCACTGTCTCAGGCTTTCCTCAGATTTCCAGCCTTCTTCCAAACAAGGACTTATATGGCCAGACACAAGAGTGGTCTCACCTACCGCCTGCTCTTTGTCAGCTCAGTGGTTTTTTTTCCCCTTGCACAGATAATATTTTGTTTCTTTTCTTCTCCATTACATTTTCACTCTCTCATCTTATTGCATCTGTTGGTGTCTTTCCTGGTCTAAGCTTGTTTTGGTTGTTAGCCAGTTGTCTGGTTTGTGCCAGTGAAAGGCTCTTCGTGTTTTCTTCTGAGACAAAATGTCTAAGCCCACAAAGATTTATACTTGGATTTAAGCTAGCTAAAACATGTACAACATTGCAGGATTAAGGCCTAACCTTGAAAAGTAATCTGTTGGAAACCTGGTGTTAAGTAATATCTAGGTAGAGTGTTTAGACTTTTAGCATGTTTAATATTTTGAAAATTGCTTAACTTAGCAACAGATGGCAGGTACTGCAACAGTGGAGGATATGTTTGTTACAGAGACTTTTAAAATATGACTTAACATGACTAAAAAGTCTTATATTAAAATAATCATTTTATCCCTGTCAGTGAAGTCAATCTGATGTGAATGAAACAAAGCTTGAGATAGGATAGGATAGGATAGGATAGGATAGGATAGGGTAGGATAGGGTAGGATAGGATAGGATAGGATAGGATAGGATAGGATAGGATAGGGTAGGATAGGATAGGATAGGATAGGATAGGATAGGATAGGATAGGATAGGATAGGATAGGATAGGATAGGATAGGATAGGATAGGATAGGATAGGAAGACTGGTTTTTACTTAATAAACAGGATTATTACTGAATTAGAGTTTGGATTTTTTGTCAGAACACTATTTTTTCCAATATGTTTTGACAGAGCCCTCAGCTATGAGAAACTACTGACTGTAGATACTCTGTGCCAGAATGATGAATCTATTTCCAGTAAGCTAGTTGCTTCATCTTTCTGGATATACTCTTGAGCATTTATCACGTAACTCCCTTAATCCAAACCAGTTGTGTACATATTTTGTAATTGATGAATTGCTGACAGTAAATAATATTCATACAAAATCAACTATTTGTTAAATAAAAAAATACTGTTTAACAATTTTTGTACCAGAACTTAGCAGTCTTTTATTTACTGACTCTTTTCACATGAACAAGTGTCATCTAAATCTGTGTTTACAATATTACAACATTGACTATACACCATGTCAGGTAAGAACACATTTACATTGCAACTGTATGTTAAATACTTTCATCAACACAGTGAGTAATACCAGATCACTAGTCCTTGAAATAACATGTCAATAAATTTGTGAAGATGAAACAACTCTTCTCCCATCAAATTCTGCTCTACATTTAGATGAAATGCCTTGGTTAAGTAATGTCTTTGAAGACTGGGTGTTACTTCCTTTAGCTCTGATTGTAGTTGGCAGGCATTATATGTTCTTTGTGTATCACCAAAACAGAACATTTATCTGTGGTGTACTTTCTGTCTTTTCTTCATAAATGGATGCAACTTTGGTGGGTTGGGTGTATTTTAGTGTGTTGTTTGCATTTGATTAATTTGCTCTTGCTGCTCTTGTGTGTACATATATCTTACCCCTGCTACTGAATATATGTGATAGATGCAGTGAACTGTTGGCTTCTGTTCTGTGAATATTAATCAAAGAATATGCTCCTCTGCTTAATGGCTTTGCAGTGTAGGAGGCAGCCAAACGAGTCTTCTTTTTTTGCTCTTTAATCATTATTGTGTAAGATACTGGCAAGAACAGTTTTTTTCATCTATAAACACTATTTCATGCTTAAACATATCCATTGTTTGGTCAAAGTTATGAAATATTGTTGCTCAATGAAATTTTGTTTTCAGCATTTCCTGGTAAAGCAGTAATAGAAGAGATAAAACAGTAAAGGAAGGGGGAGATGATTAAATAGAAGAAATATTGAGCATAGCATGCAAGGAAGAAGCAGAAGGTGCAGAGTCAGTAAATTCAGCCTCATATGATTTCAGTTCTTATGATTCGGACAAATAGTTTTCTTTAATCAAAAGCCAAACCGGATGCTTTTCTAGATCCCATGGCTGTGGTGAAAGGAATAATTTTTTATTAAAGTATTCTTAAGGAGAATAAGGATAGATATTTGCCATGTTCAGATATATGCTTAAAATGTGTGTGAGAATAGATATTGATTAGAGTGTGACAGCTTATTTGGGTGAGAAATTAAAAGACATCTTCAATAGTTAAGTAAAAAAGCCAGTAAATGTTTGTTTGTGATGATGGTAGTACAGCTCAGTATCAGAAGTAGCGAGTTTCTTGAAAGCACAGCTCACATTTTTATGGCAAGTAGGTCTGTTGTAAATTTGATAGATACAGCTTTAGTCATTCTCCATGAATCCCAGCAGTGAGGCAGCCAAGGCTAATGGGAAGGCTTGTGCTTAAGAGTTCATAGCTTTTTTTTTTTTGTGTGTGTGTTCTTGGCAGGGGGTTGCTTTGGTGTTCATCCCCCGCCCCCTTCAGAAAAATGTCCCTAGAGTAGAGGCTTTCTGTAAATTGTGCTGTTAGCAAAACCTTACTTCTAGCACTGTCACTAGCTTAGCTCTAGAGAACCAGCAGAATTAGCAGAATTTATGGAATAGGAATTTCTCTTGCCATTGCCTGTTGCCCTTGACCATTAGGACAGTCTTGCTATAATCCTCTCAGATGTTGTAGGACATTGAGAGTATCACATTTTTTTGTATTTACTAATATTTGTGTACTACAAATTTTATTTTAATCGTTATCAGTACAAGCATTTTTTTTTAATTCCTCCAGTTTCTGCCTGGAAAATACATCTCAGTTTTTTTGCTATAGATAATGATCTTGTAATATTCTAGAAAGGTACAAGGCAGAAATCCTCCAAACCTTCTGCAACTTCTTGTGATATAATATGTTCAAAGGCAGGTCTGTTTTTGTGGAAGGGAATACAGTAGTACTGCAGCTTGTGGTTCACAGAAAAACAATAGTTGGAAGCTGAATCATTGAATCACAAAATCGTTTTTGTTTTTTTCCAGTCGGTTTATTTATCTCAGATATGCATTTAAAGTATTTTCAGGAAATATCAGTAAGATGATTCTATTGAATGGCTTCATTAAAATACTTAGTCCACCATTATCTAGTGGAAATTAATATATTTTGCTACTTGAACACACATTTATTCAGTGTTGTACCACCTCCCTTTGAACAACTCCTATAAATACTCTTCTTGCATATATACATATATTTACATTTGAATATATTAGCATGCTCTTGCAGAAATAGATTTTGGAAAGAAATTTTTATTTACAGACTGAATAAATTGAGTATGTCTTTCAGATCCATGTCAAAATGGTAGACCCTGTGTGTTTTAAAAATGCTTTCTTCTGGATAAAGGCCATTTCCACTGGTTTAATCCATATAAACATCTGCTTCTGTGATTTTGAATCTACATCTTCCGTTTTGATAATGATTAATCCCACATTCTCATTGTTTGTTAGTTCTCAAAAGTTAATTGTTAGTCCAGCTAAGAAGTCTTCATGTCTGGTTAATGTGGTTACTGCTTATTGACCTTCTGAAAATGTTGATATGCCAGAGAATTTTTGAATGTACTAAGAACAGCTAACTAAAGTTAGATGCCTTTCTCTGCTGATTGTCCTTCCCTAGTTTTTGTAATCATGCTTTAAGATTGCAACAATAATATGGAAGTAAGGAGACAAAACCATGGCTTCCTTGAGACCTTCTCTAGTAGTGAGTTTATCTTAGTTTACATGTAAATGTTGCCCCTAAGGTGCAAATTTAAGGATGGACTACAGTCTTGTTAAGGTACATATTCTTTTTTAAGTATAGTTCTTCGAAAGTGGTGATTGATATAATAACAATATACAGTGTTAAAAAGATCCAGAGGTTTTGGATATGCTGATTACTGGCAAGTAGCTTTCACTCAGCTTTTGCCTGATATGAGTGAGGTAACTTGTCTGTAATAGAACAGAACCTGCATTAATAGTGCCTGTTGTCAGTTATTTACATGTCTTTCTAAGAAACGGGACAATTGATTTCAACTTGGATGTAGTTTCAAAACTGAAGAAGGCATTTGGTAACGACTTTGTACTAATTTAATTCCTGTATGCTCATGTAATTGTTTATGGAATCTAAAATGAAAATACTTAAACTGAACAATGCACCTACATTCGTGGTGTAGATAAATGGGAAACTAATACTTGCATTTTCTCTTTTTGCAAACTCTAGGGGGGACACAGAGATTACCTCGCACGATTGGAGTGTCACTGGCAAAAGAACTGATCTTCTCTGCACGTGTTGTGGATGGTGAGGAAGCAAAATCAATAGGATTGATTAGCCACGTGGTAGAACAGAATGAAGCAGGGGATGCTGCATACAAAAGAGCATTAGCTCTGGCAAAAGAATTCTTACCTCAGGTATGACAGGTTATTTTGATCTTGGTTTTTACTTTTTACCAAATATTAAGACTGAAAAAGAAACAGCTGTATTAAAAAAAAAAACCTGGCATGAAGTTGTGTATTAAAAAGCCATGCTTAGTCACGTGGCAAGCAATCAGAAGTTTTCTATTTTGTGTATTGAGTGGTGTTATTTGGTAATTATTTCATAGTGAAGAAGAAACTTCCATCAGTCCTCATCTCAGCATGATCTGGTCTGTGTTTTCGTTGTGCATTTTGGCTTTCAACTTTTAAACAAAAAAAAAAGCACAGGTTTTATTTTTTAGTATAGCAATTGTCTTAATAGGTCATTCTGTTGCTGTTGAACACTTCAGAAGAGAGGCAAAAAAGTCCATATGAAGGTGGATGTGTCTCAGAGTAACTTCTGTTTGGAAAACATAAAGCTAAATGGAATTTCAGTATTAAAGCAAAGCCCATTTATTAGTGGAAAATTTGCTTTCTGTCCTTTGTATATATGCTTGATGAAAGATTCATGCTCTTTTTATCATTCATTCTAAGTGACATTCTATCTTAGTATTTCATGGAAGAATTGTAGTGGGATTTGCTGAATTCCTGTGCTTTAGAACTTAAAAATTTTAGTAAGAAGCACAACTATGACCTTTATGGTAGTAGCTGATTGCTCCCTGTTACCATCAGCTGCAAGCTGTTAGTTCAGAGTAGGAATGTGAGTTTGGAGATTTTGATAAACCTGCTTTTCAAGTAAAGGGTCCCAGGTAGCAAATCCGTAGGAGGCAGAAGAAGAAAACAATTAAGAAACCACTTTATTGGATCACAAGTGTAACAGCTAAAATTTTTAATTGAAAATTTAAAATGTTATAGCTTATATATGGCATTTAAAGATGGTTATTTGTGTCTTGAGCACCCTCATAGAAAGACAAACATAAAAATATGGTAAAATTTTTAACATGTTGATTAATTGTCACATCTCTTCATGTGTCTCCACTGCCTGACAGGAGGGACATAGGACTGACCTTGCAAAGACCTATAGTGATGTATCTTAAGGTGGCCTTTCTGAGCCTTGTTTTGAGGGGAATTGGCAAAGCTTGACAAATGTGGACACATTCATCACCTTTGAAACGTAAACCAAACACAATGCTTTAATTAGGTTCTTTTGAAAATAGTGTGCTTTTACTTTTTCTCAGTATTCAACCTATCAGTTTGGAAGCAAATGTCTTCTACAGTGATGAAATCTAGGATATTTGACCCATTACTGTAAATTTAATGAGAGTCCAAAATCTGGGTCCTGATATAAGAACACTGAGGTGCAGCTGATATAAGAACACTGAGGTCCAGCTACACATCTTGTAGGTTTTGATCATATGTGAATAAACTTTTTCTTTCATTTTAGGGACCAGTAGCAATGAGAGTTGCAAAACTGGCTATCAATCAGGGAATGGAGGTAAGGATCTGTACTTTCCATGAGAGTGAGCAGAAATCAGGTTGGCAACAGTTCTGCTGTGGTGATTTTTTTCTAGAACTGTTTTAGTTTCTCACTGTATAGTCTTTCAAAATCTCTTTGGTCAAAACTTTCCAAAGGATGAAATGCAGTTTTATTATGTCTCGGACTCCCTAGATGCTGATTTCTGTAACGAAGCTTAGTAACCTCATGCCTGTTCAGGAGTAGTGCACCCTGCTAATTATGAATACTAGAAACTAAACATAAACTACTATGAACAAATTGTATTTCAAATCCTAGGTGGGAAACAATGATCAAAGTTGCAGTCTGTCAAGTCCATCAATGCTCTCAATTCAGCCTTCAGGCTGAAGGGCATATATTTTTTTTAACAGTTTAATAGAGCTTAGCGTTAAAGTTGTATCTGGAGCTTGATTTCATGTTTGATTCTGATTGCCACTCCTTTTTGTACATTATAGACCTAGCTCTAAAGCTCCTTAAAATCCAGTCCTGAACACGTCTGGACATGCGTTTTACTGAAGGCGTATGGATCCTCTTGCTGAGTTCAGCAGGACTGTCCATGTTTAAAGTTAAGCTCTGCAGCAGAACACCCTGTAGCTCAGCCTGGTGAAAGGAAAAGGGTATCACACTGTATGCAACATCAGAATCCAAGAAGACAAATTTAAGAATGGTCCTTTTTTTTCTTAAAAGTCCCAAAAGCAACCAGCAATATAATTGAGTTCCACCAGTAAGTTGTGGCGTGAGAACCAAACTGATGCTGTTGTGCAAAGAGTGTGTTTGCTAGGTTTCCATAGCAAGTAATGATGGAATTCAAGATTTATTTCAGTGGTACCCAGGGTTCAGAGTGCAACAAGATAAATTGTCTGGCTACCAGTGGACTGAGAGGTCAAAATGATGATGTTTATAGAATTATGGACATTAAGGTTAGAAAGACTCTGAATGATCATCTCTAGTTCAACCTTGAGGCAGGCCATAAGACAAAGATCTACTGTATTAAAACCAACCAAGGCACACGATCATCCAAGCTATTGTTACAAAACTTCCATGGCACAGATTTTACAGCTTCCTTTGGTAACCTATCCTGTAGCTTATCTCCCCTTGAAAATTGCTTGTGGTGTGTAGCCACAGTCCTTCCAGTGGTCAAGTGGAGAACTAGTGAGTTCTGCAGCAGCTGATGCTTAAGACAGACAGGGAACTATTGAGGGCAAAATTCAGCTTTTTCAACTGTTCAGGCCAGCTCACAAAGAAAATAAATGTATTAAAAATAGATGATGATGCAGAATGGCCATTGGCCTCTTTTTTCCCTATTTTAAACCCCTCTAAGCTCGAATTTATATTTTTTTGTGGCATGGCGTCGTGTTTTTATATGATATTTTGAATATAACTTATTTCAGAACAGATTTTAAATAATCATGCAGTACATCTTTTCCCCTGTAGTAAGTGAAATTATTACAAATGTGCAGGCAGCTAATGGTTGTTGCCTACCCAGATGATTTGTAGCAAAGAGCATACATTTTTTTGAGTGTATTACATACTAGTTGTATTGCCAAATAGGGAAGCTGTTAGAGAAATACTAACCACTGTCACCACATGTCAGTGTAGCATTTCTGTGTTAAAGTAAGGTAGAAGAACTCTGCAGAGGTGTTATAGTATGTGGCATACAGAAACACAGTATTTATGTGGAAATAATATATAATAAATGTAAAAAATATTCCTTTAAAAAACATTGTATTCTTTTCCTCAGGTCGACTTAGTAACAGGTTTAGCAATTGAGGAAGCTTGTTATGCTCAGGTATGTAAATATGATTACACCAAAAAACCCACAGAAAATAGGCTTTGTTGGTGCCTGTTATTAAACATGGAAATTCAACTAGGAATTGCTCTATGATTTCTTCTGCAAACATTTTGGCATTGTGTTTAGACTTTCCATCTACTTATTCTGATTTTGTAAGGAATTTCAGGAAGGAGGTGCACAATAACATGTCCCTGCCAGGGCTGTTAGGGTGAAGGTAGAGAGGGACTACAAGCCAGTCAAACATTGCCATGCATCTAGTCCAAGAACTGCCTTCCTTTTGCTTTGTTTTGGTTTGACATGAAATAACATGAAGGGCAGTTCATTACTGTGCCCCTAATGGCATATGTGCTAACCAACAGAAAATCAAGACAAACCTCCTTGCCTGTGAAACATGGGAATGATGTGTTTGAGATTGAATGTTCTTGGCCTTTGAGACAAGTTTTTGATGACGGAAATAGAAGCCTCGGCTTTAGATGCTTGTTTAAGACATATGGTGATCTGATTAATGGCCTCCTTCCCCCCCAAGAACCAAACCAAACAGAACAAAACAAACAAACAAACACGAAAACAAAAAACCTACCACCGAAACATCAAAAACAAACCCTAAAGAGTTTCTTACAGACATCTGTTTGGAGAAAGGGTAGTCCTTCTCTCAAATTGTTTCACGGCCATATGTCATGCCTTTGAAGTGTCTGGTGCTTTCCTGTCTCTGACTAGATAGCTTTTAATTTTTCTGTTGTATCGTATGTGTCATCCTGGGTATGTTGAAAAACAAGGATTTGTATGCTAATATTTTTCTTGGTGTTGTTTTTGGTGTCTATAATGAAGTGTTACTCTGCTCATTGCAGACTATTCCAACAAAAGATAGAATTGAAGGTCTTCTTGCGTTTAAGGAGAAGAGACCTCCTCGCTACAAGGGAGAATAAAAGAATCTGATGCCTTTAAAACACAGGGGGATAAAAGTACTTCTATGAGGACCATTAAGGTGCACTTTGCATCTGCACCTGGAATATCACAGCCACCAAAGTAACAGCAAACCATACAGATGTTACAACATTCTGAATGTGTGTCAGCTCATGCTCATTACAATTTCTCATGGTTTCGATCTGTGTATTGGCAAGGTCACAGGTTCATGCAGCATTTTCAAAATTTTGCGTGTGTGAAACATACCATTCCACAGTTGAACAAAGCTCTGTAAATTCTTTACATAGACAAAAACGTATCTGTGATGTTAAGCATAAATCTGCTGTATCATTTTATCAAAGCAAGACAACTACTGAACACCAAAAATAAGAAATTGTACCAAATATGCATTTAAATGATTCTGTATATCAGTAAAAATCATATTTGAGTATTCTACCTGAATATGTACATTGTTAATAAAGCTAAGGGAAATGAAAAGGATTATTGTTTGGAAAATGTTAAGCTTAGTTTATCTTATTTACACTGTCCTTAGTAAAATGAAATTCACTTCAGCACATAATGGTGTCCTTTTGATTAAATTGTTGCCATTATATTAATTTAACTGTATTAAATTAAACATTTTTGAGGCCAGTCTTTAATTATACATCTTGTATGTTAAACCTGTCTTTGTCTTGCATTCTTCCAATGTGTCATCTGATCAGCACTATCAGCTGTGAAGGAACTTTATTTCACTTGAGCCAGTTATTTTAATTTTTTGATGATTGTATTAAAGATGGTTGTGGAGGGATGTGACTAATGCACTGTTAAAGAAACTCGAATTATCTTAATCTGCAGAATATTACTTTTGCAGGTTCTAGGAATGTATATTTATATACAAGAGGGATGATATTGAAACGTTCTTTATTCTATGGTGGCCTCAGAGTTCTTTTCATATATCTAAAGAGAAATGCAGTAGGTTACGAGGTGAGAAAACGGTTGTGGTTCATACTCTGTATTTGCAGTGGACATGACATATACAGCAAATGTCTGGAAATAGCCTCGTTGAAAATATTTTTGTTAACTTGACTGGAAAATAAACATGGCTTAGCAGTCGGAGGCTGTCTTTTTATATGAAAACAAATTTATTTGTGTTTGGATACCATTGGCTCATGAAACTTGTGACTGCTTTGCTGTTTCTGCAACATTAACTATGGTCACTGTCCATATCTGTGATGATAAAGCAGCTCATCAACATGAAATGACAAGAACTCATTTACATTCATATTTAGACATACCATTGCATGTAAATTGATTATAACTGGTAGAGCTCACACTTTGTTGACCGGTAAACTTGCTGAGTCGATCATTTCATGCACAATAATTTGCAAATAAAGTACTGGTGCTTGTTTTGATAGTCATATAAAGCCTAGAGGGTCATTTTCTCCTGTTTTTGAAATGCTAACATGTCATTTTCATTTTTACTGACTAGGAAATAATTATGTTAATAGGAAAAAAAAATATTAAGTCTGTGCTGATGGATTTCTGTTTCATAACTTTGATATACAGTGTGGTTGTTGAGCTGCCTCTTTTTCTAACAAGCACTGATTAAGTAGATTCTGTGAATATCCATTTAAAAACATCTAATAATCTTAAATACTGTGGCATAAGACTGTGCAGATTCATGCCTTTAACTAGTAGTTTTGATCTCAGAAAATAATTTTGCTGTCGCAGTGGTCTCTCCATTCCTTTTCTCAGGAGGAGATAGTGTCATATCATAGCAATTTGAGTCCCTGCTTTGAAGTCAACAGTTTGAATATCATTACAAAAGGAGTGTCAGTTGGACAATTTTTAAAGGTACTTTGGAGTGATGTTGAAACAGTTCTGAAGGAACAATATTTTAGCAAAAGATGTGTTAATCCCTATCTCTGTTATTAAGTGACGTGTTATGATGTCTGCAGTGCTCATGATTAATAGCAATATTAGAACTCTGCTTCCACAACAGGATGATTTGTAAGAGAAATGCTCTTATAAGGGCTGACTTCTCCATGTGAAAGGTATGATCTGGCAAATCATCCTTCAAGCACCTACGCTCGACTCTTTCAGTTCCTGGTAAAGCCGTGCTTTTCTGCACTTTAAATCCGCTCCATGGATGAATCAGTGCTGGTCCCCACTGGTTTTCTGAAAGGTTATCTCATGGTCCCTACACAGAAGCATCTTTTTCTCCTGCTTCTGTTGAGCTCAAGTGGATAGTGAGTTCTTCTGCACTTCACTGAGTTGGGTATTGAAAAGTTATAACACATATAGGTCCATTACCTTCAGCTTATAATGTCTCAAGAGTGTAAGTTCAACTTACTAAATTGCCTAGAAATTCTCAGTTTCATGCAGAAGGTAATGTGTGACTTTATATAACACATATCATTTTAGCCTTTAGTCTGTCAAGCCATTTGTATTTTCAATGCTATTGAAGTAACTCACATTCTTAGTAGTTTTACTAAATTTATGGATAAAGTTTTCATGATTGTCTGCATGGCTTAAGTCAGTTCAATACTTTTGAATAGCTCACCTACTATGAAGAAAAGTGGTGTTTTAATTATTCTAAGGCTATGTAAAGACACAGTTAAGAGCTCTTGGAGATGTTGTTCTGTGGAACATTTCTGTGACATTTGCTGAGCCATTGGTGCCCAATTGTTGCTGAAATTCTGTGTGGCATTACTCATAGTCCTACACCAAGGTTCATATCAATGCTTTTCTAGAACTGCTTTTAACCAGCTGCATTCAGAATAGTAAACATCACGACGTATCATTCTCAGCTGCTTCATATTTTACTCAGTGATTGCTCTTTGATTCATTTAATCATAGTCAGATTTGTTGAAGAGAACAACATATGAGAGGGCAGGATATCATGCTGCTTGGAGTCTGCTTTTGGGAGACCTAGGGAGTAAAGTAAAGGGTTTGATACTAGTGTCACTTCACATACCAAACCCAACTCACAGATGCAAAGTGAAAAGAGTAATTGAAAGATCTTAATTTATCAACACATAGTTTTTATTTCATTCCTTTTCCATGCACACAAATCACTGAAAAGGTGTCTGCTGAGATTAGACAGAGGATTTATTTACAATTTTAAAAGATTTACTTGAAAATCATTGTTCTTTTGTGTGGTGTGCATGGAAATGGAACGAGATGTGCTTTCTTGTCTCATTTGTGGAATTTTAGCCTTGTTCTTGTACCTTATGACAGTGCTAAAAAGCTACAGGGCTTCATTGTCTACTGAGGCTGATGCAGTCAGTGTAGTCGAGGTGTGATAATGTTCATGGTGATGTGGTTATTTTAAGATGTTCTTTTTCTGCACACTTTTAGAACTATCTCCAAAAATGAGAAAAAGGATAATTGCAAGCAAATAAACCAAAAGAAGAGTTGTGTTCAGCTAAAGGTAATGAAGTTCCTCTTGTGTACTACAGTAGCTAGTTTTTCTGTTTGTGCCACTTTTTTTTTTTTTTCTTACCTTTTCTTTCCTCTGAGTCTGAAGCTCAGACATGAGTGTGCAGGGAATACTTTGAAGAATTTCTGTGGTTTGTTTTCACTTTAAGAACATTGGCATTTTATAAGGAAAGTTATTAAAGTTTAAAAAATTTTCCCGAAAGGTCTTTGAAAGATATAATCAGAGATTACCACATTATCACTAAATATTGGGTAATATACCTTTTTATTATAGATTTAAACCGTGTTCAGTTTCAACTTTGAAGCAGAGTTCAATAGAAGTTTCTTTAGTTATGCAGATTGCTGTGTTTTCACAATGTACTTATTATGCTCTATAATATATGTGTGTGTATACTGACATGTCATATGCATGCATATGTAAGTGAATGTGCATATGCATATGTGTACGTATAAATAAAATTATCCAGACTGTCAGGCAAGACCAGATGCCCTCAGGATGTGATACCACTATTCTGCTCCAGGAAGTTTTGAATTTGTTTGTGCAGGAGCACTACCAGCAGAATACTCGACCCCACACAGCATGTGCTGTGCCTGCTACAAGTGGCCACACTTGCCATGTGTTCTGTTAGCACAGAAATTCTACCACAGAAGCAGCAGTCAAGTAGTGAGGGGGTGCATGTGTGTCACTGTGTATCTCGGCGTGTACATGTGGTAGTTCAAGGCTGGAATAAATGTAGCAGGAGTCAAAGGCAGTTCTTAAGTTTCAACAAAGGTGTGGCATCCAGATAGCACATTCCTCCCAGTACCATAATATCATTTGCTCCTGCAGCCTGAGGAGGCCTACAGCAATCATGAGCAGCTCATTAATCAACAACTGTCGTAGATTATAAGATCAGTCTCTACCCCCCTTAATAAGTCTAGACTTAGATTTCATCTCCAGCTTTTATCTAGTAGATAATTCTTCCAAGGACACTCATTCACATGGGAAGAAATATGAAGTATGTTAAAAGAATTTATTACAGAGGGTGTGAACGTTCTGTGTCAAAGCTAAGTCCTATTGCAATAGTTGAGTTCAAAATAGTACATTAACCCTCTAAGGCATAGTCTGTACATGTATGTTTATAAACTCTTCAAAGTTCTGGCTGGTGACTACTACCCTTTGATTATAATTTCTGAAGCATATGCTAATAAAGCTTTTGTAACATTAAAGAGCTGAGAATATGGTGCAGTTTTCTTGTTGCATAATATATAACCACTTTCAGAAGAACATGAAAAGTGTGTTATTTTTTTAAGGAACTTATACGTCAAATTGTTGCTTCTTTATTCTGGCAACTGCTAATTGATTTAACATTTTCCCTTAAGCATAAGGGACTTTGTGATATCATCTTTGGCTCAATTCTTTCTAGCATGTTAAAAGTTCTGATGCCAGTTGTACAAATTTTTTAAAAACTTGTCTCTTTCATCCAGCTTAGAAAGACAAAGTAAAAAATTTAGTTGTAAGGACAGAGTTGTGAAGGTTGTGTTTTCATTGCATATAAACGTTAATAATACATCTCTGTGGTTGCATGGAAAGAGTTTGACTCTTTATTTTTTGTGTAATAAGTCTGAAATGCTGGGACTGTTGTCTTCAGAGCTGGTCTGTAGCTGAACTATTTTTGTAAACATATGTAAGTATCCCCAGCTACTGACACCTCAGGGTCTGTGGTTCCTGTTGTCCTGTAGTTGTCTTCTCTTGGCCAGCCTCCTCTTCCAAGCGGTGGTGAAAGGAGAAGAGAGCCAGGAAGCACACTTCCAAGAAGCAGTGGGTCTGGGAAGGGTGGATAGGAAGCGGGTTTTGTAGGGTGGGTTCAGACTGCCCGTTTTAGTCACAGTCAACTTCAGCACAGTCATTTCTAGTATCTTCATGAGCAGCTCCACAAAGTGGTTTTTTTCTATGTTGGTTGGTTACAGCACCTGAGTCCCGAACCCTAATGACCAGTAGAGTTCACAACATCCAGACATGATTCCTAGAGTGTACATATAACGTATGAAAGAAGGTGGGAGCTGCAAAAGCACCATAATGAGGAGGGTTCTGCTTAATTTACTAGCTCGTAAATGGACACATGGACATGTTTCTTTTCCACTTTGGGTGGAATGAAATTTCTCTCTTCACCTTGGATTCTTACCCTTTCTTACAAGTCTTGTCTGAAATCAGTCTTTTCAAAAAAGTGAAGAGGATCTGCTACAGCCCCTCCATCTGTATATTTGCTCAGTAGATGAAGGACTCGTGAAACAGCAAAGCAACTCTGTTTCTGCTCTCTCCTTTCACTTGGTTGACGTGAGCCAAACTCTCGTATAGTAGTGACTTGTATGGATGCTCTGAAGTCACTTCTGATTCGTTTTTTCTACTTTAATTATTTATTCTACAAGTTAATTTATTGATATATAGAGATAATGACCTTCGCATAAATACCACAGTGGTTTTTGAACAGATGACACAGTAAGGATGAGAGCTCTGCTCACTTTCCTCTTGTCCCCAGAATCTCCTTTGTACTGTGTGGAGTCCTGTCTGCTAAACATGAAGATGCCTACTGAGTCAGACTCCTTAGGTGTGGAAGGTTTAATTCATGAATCCCAAAAGGCCTTGGATACAGCACTTTCTAAGTGCTGTTGCTTCATATCATGACTTTGTGATGCCAAATGCCAGCAGGAATTTTGAGAATCTGAATTCTAGACTAGGACAATGTCTTAGTTGTGTGCATTTTGTGATGGTGCTTCTAGTCTGCTTTACTCTTTAGGATTCTTAGTTAAGCTTGAAAATACTTCCTTAAAGTAAGCAAGGGATATAATAGCCACTTGTGTCCCCGGAGTAGTCAGGCTGTCATCAGTGAGGTAGAAGGGAACAGTAGCAATTCAGAGGGGAGGTGGTGGTGTAGCAACAGGGTCATAGCTGTAGTTGCCTGTGCTAAAAAAGTTACACGAAGCTGGTTATTCCAGCTC